ATGAAGCAAGAGGTCAGGGTTTGATTACCAGTCAGGGCATATGTCCAGGTTGTGGGCTCAATCCCCAATGGGGGGTGTGATGATTCTCGCTATTTCTATCTTTCTCTCCCTCTCCTTTTCTCTATAAAATCAATAAAAACACACACATATATATATATATATATATATATATATATATATATATATATATATATAAAATCTCACTATAGCATCAAAAAGGATAAAATACTTAGCAATAAACTTAACTGAGGAAGTAAAAGACTTGTACACTGTAAACTGTACAACATTGCTAAAATAAATCAATAAAGATACAAATAAATGGAACAACATCTGTGCTTGTGAATTGGAAGACAATACTGTTCGAATGTTCATATTATCCAAAGCCATCTATAGATTTAACTCAATCCCTATCAAAACCTCAATAGCATGTGTTGGAGAAATAGAAGAAAAAAGAAATCCTAAAATGCACTTGGAAACACAAATGATCCCAAAGAAACAATCCTGAGAAAGAAGAACAATTAAGGCCTCATACTTCCTGATTTTAAAACACACTATGGACAACAGTGAACAAGCAGTATTTTAAGTGTCTCTTCATGTAGACTTCCTTCTGTGGATATCTGCCTCTGTGTCCAAATTTCCTCCTTTTAAAAGGATACAATCATATTGGGTTAAGGTCAACCTAATGCCCTTGTTTTGATTTTATTACTCTGTAAAGACTCTATTCCCCAATAAAGTCATACTCTAAGGTTCTTGGGGTTAGGACTTGAACACATTTTTTGGGGGGAACACAGTTCAACCTATAACAATATCTTAAGGAACAACATATCAAAGTTGTAGGATGCAGCAAAAACAGTGTTAAAAGAAAATGTATAGCTATGGATTAATATATGAAACTAGAGGCCCAGTGCATGAAATTCATGTACTTGGGGGCGGGTCCCTCAGCCCAGCCTGCACCCTTGCACAGTCCAGGAGCCCTTGGCAGTCAGACACCATTAGCATTGCCATGGAGGCAGGAGAGGTTCCAGTGCACTCGCTAGCCATGAGCCCAGCTTCTGGCTGAGCAGTGCTCTCCCTGTAGGAGTGCACTGACCACTAAGGTGCAGCTCCTGCATTGAGTGTCTGCCCCCTGGTGGTCAGTGTGTGTCATAGCAACCAGTCATTCCGCTATTGGGTCAATTTGCATATTAGCCTTTCATTATATAGGATATTCATAATAGGCACATTTATTGAGACAGAGGTCATATTAGTGGTTGCCACGGGTAAATGAAGGGTGATTGCTTAAAGGGTATGAGGTATTTTTCTGGGGTGACTGATTCGTTCACTGAATAATACTTATGTGCCTTCTATGTTCCAGGCAGTATTTCAGTTACTTTTGCATGGACTTTGTATTCAAAAGGAGAAAAAGACCAAGAATAAACAAGACAAAATATGTCTAAGTGTTGAAAATTGTAATGAAGATAAGTAAATCAGGCTAGATAAAGAGTGAAAAGATTGAGAAGTGTAATTTTTAGATAGATAGAACCTACCTGTTAAAGTAAAATTTTTGCAGATGCCTGAAGGATGTGAAGAAACAAGTCATGAAAATGTCTAGGAAAACAACATTCCTGGAATGCAAAGATAGGAACCATGCTTGGGAGTGTTCAAAGGGATGCCAGGAAAATGTGTGACAAAATCAGGGTGAAATGAGTGTTAGGAAGTGAGTCTGGAGAGATAGCCAGAAGCCAAGTTATATAGGATCTTTTAGGCTATGGCTAGGACTTTGGATTCCATTCTAAGGATGACAGGAACCCCCACTTAGACCAAGTGAGAAATATATGAAATATGCTTTAAAAGGATCACTCTGGGTACTATAACCATAATATTCCATCCAATTTATGGGAAATGTCCCAGGCATCAATGCCTTCATTACCAGTTTTAAAATCAGAAAATGTCTGACTTTCCCACTCAACTCTTCTCCTAAGTAACTTGGCAATTTAGGTGAGGGCCTGATCTCACCATATCTCAGTCTCTTCACCTAACATATAAGGAACTAATTAAAGTCTCTTCCAGGTCTATCTTTTTATGATTCTAGAAAGTTAAAGTAGACTTCATTATTACATTAGCTCTTTTACTTAACCAGTAATTCTTAACTAAAGACATTTTGCCCCTCAGAGGACATTTGGCAGTATCTGGAGACATTTTTGATACAACTGGGGAGTGAGTTACTATTGGCAGCCAATGGGTAGAGGCTAGCAATACTGCTAAATATCCTGCATTGCACAGGACAGCCCCTCACTACACAGGATTATCTATTCCAAAATATCAATGTTGGTTTTGTTGAGAAACCTGACTTAATAAAGAGAAAATTCACACGATTTACACTTATGGCACTTAAGTTAGTATTTTTCTATATATATATATATATATAGAAAGTTCCTGATCTGCTTATCACTTTATTGTTTTATCAAAGTCAAGAATGACACAAGCTTTTTGCTCTGAATAATTTTGCATCTTGATTCTTTTCTGTATGGTTAAAAAGCTGAAATTAAAATTAGACCATGATAATAGTAGCTACCCTGTTTCCTCAAAAAGAAGACAGTGTCTTATATTAATTTTTGTTCCCAAAGATGTGCTATTTCTTATTTTCAGGGGATGTCTTATTTTTCCATGAAGAAGAATACGGAACACATTTATTGTTAAAAGAAAATAAAGGAAATTTATTACCTGCATACGGTATGGCAGTACGGTAGTTGTCAACACAAACCAGACAAACTATGAATCCTACAGTATCATGAATTTACTCATTTATTCAATGACAATCATGTCATCATCTTCTGGAACATCATCATAACAATGCAATTCCTGAATTTCCTGGTGGATTTCTTGTGACTCCATTTCTTTCAGAATCAGTGGACCAAATCTCTCATGTTTAGCCTAGGAGGGCCTTATTTTCGGGGGGATGCCTTATATTTCACTCAGAAGGAAACCTGTAAGTAGGTCTTATTTTCGGAGGATGTCTTATTTTTGGGGAAACACGGTAGTTATACAGAAAGGGGCCTCTTAAATTATACATACTTGGGTTCAAATAATACATCACATACTCAATGTGACTTTAGGCAAGTTATCCCCCTGTGCCAGATTTACTTTATCTGTAAGATGAAGACAAGAATGTCTATGTCACAGGGATATTGTGACTAAGGTAATAGATTACAAAATGCATAGCCCAGTGCATGACATAAGGTAAGCATTAAATGAAAGTTGTGATTACTACAATTTGCTTGGTAGGCTAAATGTGGCCTGGAGGTTGCAGGTTGCTCTTTGCTTTTCTAGAATCTCTCTGATTTTCCCCTCTCTTAATCTCTTTTAATTTGTACTTCTAATCTATGAACCAAGATATTACATATCCACTCTTCCAACCTTTCAAGAATTGTGTTTAAAATTAGTCCTGAGCAAAGGCCTGGGAAGCTCCTGGGAGGACAGTGCATGGATTTCTGTATGTGGAGTGCTCAGAGGCCTTAACTCCTAGATTCCCGGCTGTGTCCCAATAACAGGATGCTGTCATACCTGAGTTGGCAAAAGTAGATTTACAGTTGTGAGTACTCAAAAGAACTTATTCTTGTATTATTACATTTTCCATATAACTGTAAACCTACTTTTGCTCATCCTATATAAATGACCTCCAATGTTGTTTCTATCATATCATACTGAAATGTTGAAAAAAGTGTTATAGGCTCCTCTCACCAACACCAGAGAGGTGTTACTGGACAGGACAGCCTCCTGAGCTAGTGGGAGAGGGCTGTTCCCAACCTCGATCCTTATCTTCTCATATAAATGAATTTATATAAGAGACATTGACTACCTTGGGAATAGCCAATTTATTAGAGCAGTTAAGGCTTGCACTTTTATTGAAAGGACAAAGCAAAGCAAGCAGGTCTATTTCATCCTGCTTGGAGCACAGATGGGCTTTTCCAGCTAATCAGGAAAAGCAAATGTCTAGTCTAGAGCAAGTTCGGGTAGTAATATAGCCTCCTCCTGTCTACAAGTATAGGTTTCAAAAGATTGTTTTGCTGAGTATCTTGGTACAGATTGAGTCTCAAGGTTTTCTTCTTGTAGCCTCCCCAGAATCCTGGCAACTTTATCGTGCTGAGCCAGAGACTGCTGGCTTCTCAGTTTAGGAAGTAAAAATGCCCTTTTGCCCCCCCCCCTCCCCCCCCACTTCTTCATTCTCTCATTAGGGAGGTCTTTAACTATTTGCTCTGGAGTGTCCTTGGCTGGGGAAGATAGTGATTTGTTCTTTTCAGCCCAGATAAAAATTTCTTACACTGTTTGTCCTTGTCCTAATGTTCCTGTCTCACTTTTCCCTATTCTTTCTGTCCTAGAATCCTGTAACACAAGTTCCCCAAGTAATTATTTTGTTCACACTGCCCAGAAAAGTCCCTTGCAATTTAGAAATGCACTGTTAGGTGATGGGATAATCTAATGGGCCACATCTGCCCTAAATAATAACATGATGCCTTGGTATTTGTAAGTGATAAGCCACTAAGACCTTACAGCAGTGGTGTTCAGAACCACAGATTTTAAGGCAAATAAGAGTCTTTCATTTGAAGAGTATTTAAAGCATTTTAAAAATGTTTTTGCATAAAATAAAATAAATACAATAATAGATCTTTTGAATGGTTCAAGTGTTATAATCTTTTCCACAGGGTAGGGCAAAAGTAGGTCTACAGTTGTAAACCTATTCCATAGATGGACTCCTTGTAAGGAAAATACTATATTTGTGTGGCTACCAGGTGTACCGGTTAATAATGCGGATTTTTTTTTTCAGTAGATGGAGTCACACATATGTTGATATATATGCGATTTGATATCTATGCTATTTTGTTGTATTGACAGCAAGCTTCAAATTTTCAGAAGGTGTTAACATCATAGATATTTTTACGTTTAAAAATGTAGAATTTCTGCTCTGTCAGCGGCGCGGAGCGGCGAGCGGAGGCTGGTACCGGGGCGGCAGCGGCGCAGCAATGCCGAAGTCAAAGGAACTGGTTTCTTCAAGCTCTTCTGGCAGCGATTCCGACAGTGAAGTTGACAAAAAGTTAAAGAGGAAAAAGCAAGTTGTCTCAGAAAAGCCTGTGAAGAAGCAGAAGACCGGGGAGACGTCCAGAGCCCTGGCCTCCTCCGAGCAGAGCAGCAGCAGCCGGGACGACAACATGTTCCAGATTGGGAAAATGAGGTATGTCAGCGTCCGGGACTTTAAAGGGAAAGTCCTAATTGATATCAGAGAATATTGGATGGATCTAGAAGGTGAAATGAAACCAGGAAGAAAAGGTATTTCCTTAAATCCTGAGCAGTGGAGCCAGCTGAAGGAACAGATTTCTGACATTGACGATGCAGTGAGAAAACTGTGAAATCTGAGCCATATAAACCTGTACTGTTCTAGTTGTTTTAACCTCTTCTTACATTGGCTTTTGTTTTTTAAATGTTGTTTTCCAGGCTGTTGTATATTTGGATTGCAGAACAATTTGTAAGAATACTTTTTTTTTTTTAAATGTGTGCATTATTAAAAATGTTCTGAGTGAAGCTAATTGTCAACTTTATTAAGGGGTTGCTTTGTGTCCACCACCTAGTGTAAAATAAAATCAAGTAATACAATCTTAACTGTGTGGCCTTCTTTGGTCCAAAGAATTGGTACTACAGTATTTAAGGCCAAAATTTATAGACCTTTGAATTTCAACTCGGCTTTTACATTAAAAGGATTTATATTGTATTGAATTTATAAACTTGATCTGTGAAAGCCATAGTTGATCTCTTCTAAACAAATGTCTAGGTTTGGATTTTCAACCCCACTGATACCTCACTTCCCTTGTTATCTTTACTTCATTTTCCTTTGACAGTTTGTCATGTTCAGCTTTCATTTCACTTTTTGCTTTTTCTTGAATATATTCTGCTAATCTGGAAAGTCAATGAAACTGTCAAAATGTTAATTATCTCAATAAGGTACTTGTAACTAAAATATTATATGAGAACTACAGTCACTAAATCTACTGTATTAAATATTAGGAGATATAGTTTGATAAACAACATGGCTTGTATGAAAACTGAGCAAGTAAGTGTATGTCATGTATTGTTCTGTGTAGTAGTTATTGCTTAGTTCTACAGAAAATAATGACTTAAGTCTGATTTGCTTTCATTTATTGAACATGTTCACCATAGGATGATGTCTATAGAATCAGATATTGTTAAATTAGACTAGGACTTAATAAAAATTGTGAAAATTCAAAAAAATAAAATAAAAATGTAGAATTTCTGCCGAAACCAGTTTGGCTCAGTGGTAGAGTGTCGGTCTGCGGACTGAAAGGTCTCGGGTTCGATTCCGGTCAAGGGCATGTACCTTGGTTGCAGGCACATCCCCGGTAGGGTGTGTGCAAGAGGCAGTTGGTTAATGTTTCTCATCGACGTTTCTAGCTCTCTCTCTCCTTTCCTCTTTGTAAAAAATCAATAAAAATATATTAAAAATGTAGAATTTCATGACAAAAAAGAGCATTTGCAGGAAGTTTTAATTTCTTACTTTATTTTTTAAAAAGTGCTGCTGAAAGTTATCATATACTTTGGGAAGCTTATGGTGAACATGCTCCATCTCAAGATACTTGTGAATGCTGGTTTAAATACTTTAAAAGTGATGATTTCGATGTGAAAGACATTGCTATGATATATGTCTGCTATTTTGGTACCTATGGATTCTTCTAAGATTTTTATGGTTTCCTGTCTATGTTTATCCATTTTGAGTTTATTTTTGTGTGTGGTATAAGTTGTTGGTCTAGTTTCATTTGTTTGCATGTATCTGTCCAATATCCCTAAGTCCATTTAATGAAGAGACTGTCTTGACTCCATTGTATGCTCTTGCCACCTTTATCAAATATTAATTGCGCATAATAGCTTGAGTCAATTTCTGGATTCTCTGGTCTATATGTCTGTTCTTGTGCCAGCACCAGGCAGTTTTGAGAACAGTGGCTTTGTAATATCTAATAAAAGGGTAATATGCAAATTGACCATCACTCCAACACACAAGATGGCTGCCCCCATGTGGTCAAAGATGGCTGCCCCCATGTGAATACAAGATGGCTGCCACAAGATGGCCTGCAGGGGAGGGCAGTTGTGGGAGATCAGGTGAGCAGGGGAGAGCATTTGTGAGGGACAAGGTTGGCAGAGGAGGCCAGTTGGGGGAGATCAGGCCAATAGGGAAGGTCAATTTGGGAGGACCAGGCCTGCAGGGGAAGACAGTTTGGGGCAGAGCCAGGCCTGCAAGGGGGGCAGTTGAAGGAGACCCAGGCCTGTAGGGTGAAGGCAGTTGGGGGACCCTGCCAGCAGGGGAGGACAGTTGGGAGGGACCAGGCTGCAAGGGAGGGCAGTTGGAGGAGGAATCAAACCAGTTAGGGATGACCAGGCCTGAAGGAGAGGGTAGTTTGGAGCAGCAATCAGGCTGGCAGGTAAGCAATTAGGCATCAATCAGGCTAGCAGGGGAGGGTTAGGGGGTGATCAGGCTGGCAGGCAGAAGCGGTTAGGAGCAATCAGGAAGGCAGGCAGGAGAGCAGTTGGGACCCAGCAGTCCTGGACTGTGAGAGGGATCCCAGATTGAAGAGTATCCAGACTGGGCTGAGGAACACACGCCCACGTCCAAGAATTTCATGCACTGGGTCTTTAGTAGCTTGATATTTAATATTGTGATCCCTCCAACTATGTTCTTCTTCTCAGGATTGCTGAAGCTATTTGGGATCTTTTTTTTATTCCAGATAAAATTTTAAAGATTTCTTTCTAGGCCTGTGAAATATACTATTGGTATTTTAATGGGGATTTCATTGAATCTATAGATTGCTTTGGGTAGTATGGACATTTTAATGATGTTGATTCTACCAGTCCATGAACACGATATGCTCTTCCATTTGTTTATGTCTTCCTCTATTTCTTTTTTCAATGTCATATAGTTTTCCAAGTATAGGTCTTTTACCTCCTTAGTTTATTCCTAGGTATATTATTATTTTGTGTGTGTGTGTGTGAAATGGTAAATGGGGTTGTTTCTTTAGTTACTTTTTCTGTGAGTTCATTATTGGTGTATAAAAAAAGCCATAGTTATCTGAGTGTTAATTTTGTATCCTGCTACATTGCCTAATTCATTTATTAGGTCTAATAGTTTATTGATGGAATCTGGGGTTTTCTATGTATAGTATCATGTCATCTGTGAACAAGGACAGTTTTACTTCTTCTTTCCCAGCTTGGATTTGTTTTATTTCTTCTTGTCTGATTGCTGTGGCTATAGGTACTAGGTCGAATAGAAGTGGTGAAAGTGAGAATGCCTATGTCTTTCCTGTTCTTAGGGGAAATGATTTTAGTTTTTGCCCATTGAGTATGATGTTCGCTATGGGCTTGTCAAATATGGCCTTTAACATCTTGAGATATGCTCCCTCTATTCTCACTTTGCTGAGAGTTTTTATTAAAAATGGATTTTTTATTTTTGCCAAAATGCTTTCTCTGTATCTATTGATATATCATGTAATTTTTGTCTTTTAATTTGTTTATGTTATGTATCAAGTTTATTGATTTGTGAATATTGTACCAGCATTGCATCCCTGGAATAAATTTCACTTGATCATGGTATATGGTATTTTTATTATATAGCTGGATGCGATTTGCTAATATTTTATTGAGGATTGTAGCATCTATGTTCACCAGGGATACTGGCCTGTATTTCTCTTTCTTTGTACTGTCTTTATCTGGTTTTGGAATTAGAATTATCCTGGCATCATAAAAAAGAGTTTGGAAGTTTTCCTTCCTCTTGGATTTTCTGAAACATTTTGAGAATAGGTGTTAATTCTTGTTTGAATGTTTTATAAAACCTCTCTGTGAAGCCATCTGGACCTGGACTTCTGTTTGTTGGGATTTTTTAAAATTATTATTACTGCTTCCATTCCATCAGTTATTATTGGCCTGCTCAAGTTTTCTGATTCTTTCTGAATCAGTTTTGGGAGATTTTATTTTTCTAGGAATTTGTCTATTTCACCCACATCGCCAGGCTTGTTGCATATAGCTGTTCATAGCTTTTTCTTAAGATCCCTGGTATTTCTGTGGTTCGGTGGTTACTTCTTTACTTTTGTTTCTGATTTTATTTGTTTGTGTCCACTCTCTTTGTTTCTTGATAAGTCTGGCTAATGGTTTATGAATTTTGTTTATCCTTTCAAAGAACCAGCTCTTGGTTTCATTGATTTTTTTGTATTATTTTTGAAGGCTGTATGTTATTTTTTTCTGCTCTAATATTTATTATTTTCTTCCATCTACTTACTCTGGGCTTTTCTTATTGTTCTCTTTCTAACTCTTTAAGTTGTGGGGTTAAATAATTTATTGTTTATTTTTCTTATTTTTTGAGGTATGCCTGTAGTGCTATGAATTTCCCTTGCAGGTCTGCTTTTGCTTTGTCCTAGAGATTTTGGGTTCATTTTTGTTTTCAGGAAGTTTTTTTTTTTATTTTTTATTTCTTGATCTTGTTGGTAACCCACCCATTGTTTAATGACATGGTATATAGTTTCCATGTGTTTGCATGTTTTGGGGTGTTTTCACTGTATTTGATTTCTAATTTCATTCCACTGTGATCTGAGAAGATGCTTGATGTGATTTCAATCTTCTTGAACTTGTAGAAATGTGTTTTGCGTCCTAATATGTGGTCTATCTTGTGAATGATGCATGTGCACTTGAGAAGAATGTATATTCTGCTATGTTGGGTTGATATGTTTATAAATGTCAATTAAACCCATTTGATCTTGTGTGACCTTCAGAGTCTCCGTCTCTTTGTTAAGTCTCCAGTGAGGTCAGAGAGATGTTAAAGACCCCTGCTATGACTGTATTATTGTTGAACTCTCCATTAAAGTTCTCTAAAAGGTTTTTTTTTTTTTAAAAAAAAACCCATATTTTTCCTATATTGAGTGCATACATATTTACCAGGGTTATATATTCTCTTGTTGGATCAATCCCTTTAGTATTATGTAGTAAGCTTTGTTTTCTGTTGTGATGGACTTCATTTTAAAGTCTATTTTGTCAGATATGAGTATTGCTACTCCAGCTTTTTCTTTCCCATTTTCAGTGAATTATTTCCCCATCCCTTCACCCTCATCCTCTGTGTGCCTTTTGTTTTGAGGTGGGTTTCTTTTAGACAGCATATAATTGAGTCATGTTTTTGTATTCATTCAGCTTCCCTATGCCATTCAGTTGGTTTGCATATTAGCCTTTTATTATATAGGATTCATCCCAATAAATTTAATAAAAACCTTATACTTTAGCATCTTTATTAATATTATATTACATATTAAATAATAAAAAAGGATGTGATAGATTGGATTGAGTCTAGGGAAACTGAGATAGTAGGTCAAGTACATTTTATCATTTTTTTTTCAGTGCTAAACCTCCCAGCATTTCAATATTAGCCATGGCCAAATTTGGCTAAAAATAAAATATATCCTATAATCAGAGCTCTTAGCATATTGGTTATTTGTTGACTCTGGATTGGCACTGGCTGATTTCCAAGCTCCAGAATATTCTTATATTAGACTCTATCTCTTCAACTATTCTAGAGATGTAGATCTAAATTATATGATACCCAGCCTTGCTTTTATTTAACTTAAAAAGTTTGTTCTAGTCAGAGGTTAAAAAGATGTAGCTATTTTTTTACTGGGTATTTGGAAGGATGTCTGAGAAGATCTCCTGAATGAATTCATAGGGGTCTTGAGAAACTGAGGGTTTAGTGAGATCACAGCATGCATCTACCTCCTCAGGATAAAATTCAGATATTAAAGTACTCATGGAAATAATAGATATTGTCAAAAGGCTGAGTTTAAATCTTGACTTGGGAGTATCATTGTATTTCATGAAACTATCTAGGGAAGGTAAAATTTTACTTACATTGCAATGTGGTTGGATCTCCTCCATTAGATTATATGCTCCATAAGGGATTTAAAAGAAAATGTATTTTTTATTGATTTCAGAGAGGAAGGGAGAAAAACATCAATGATGAGAATCATTGACTGGCAGCCTTCTGCATGTCCCCTACTGGGGACTGAACCTGAAATCCAAAACTGGGAATGTGCCCTGACCATGAATGGAACTGTGGCCACCTGGTTCATAGGTCAACACTCAACCACCACTGGCCAGGCTCTATGAGGGATTTTAACTATTACATTGCTATATTACCAGCACATAGGAAAGTGTTGAAATTTAGTAAGCTCCCAATTAATTGTATGTATAATTTGATTCAGTGTGTGCCTGGGGGTTTAATAGTTGTGACAATTTTTTTAACTTAAAAAATTCCCTACTTATATATGAATAAGTAAAATTAATTTGGGGGAATTTAATTATTTTAGGTTTTTGTGTGACAGAATGTAGTTTGGCCTGTTGTTAATATTGTTAAATATACAATCCAATCGCTATTATAAGAGAGAATCCTGGAATTGAATTCTAGCTGTCCTATTTATTCATTGTGATCTTGGGAAATTCATTTTCTCATTGGAACATAAGGACAATGTTTTTTATGAGTTCTGAATTTTTTATTTTAGGACTTATATATAAGAGGATCTCAATATTTATTGAATGAGTGATTCTATATTACACTCAAGACCTGTTTAATTAGTAAAAGACTGACATATGCTCAAGCGCTTTACTTCATCTAGATAGGACACATTTCTGAAAACAAATTCTTGGTAAACATTTCAAGCTTAGTAATTTTAATAAAAAATATAAGCAAATATGAGAAACTTTATTTTTGCATATGTAACCACATAAGCAACAAGTCTTTCCAATTTATCACTTTAAATTTGCCAGTTAGATATCATGATTAACAGCTTTTAACAGTTCAGCCCAAGAAAGAAAAACAATGTATGAACAAGTTTTTGTATTTTGAGCATTTAATTAGAAATCATTTGTATTAAATTGAACCACACTATATTACTGATATTCAACAGTTTTGGCCTTCAGAAATGGCAATTTTATATGGTTCAAATGAAATCCATTTAGTATTATATACTGTGTTTTTAGAAATAAAACAACAGGGGTACCAACGTGTGTTGTTTTCCTTTTACTTGTATTATCTCCTGCCTGATATTTTTCTAAAATTTTCTTTTTCTTTTGAATTGGTTCCAGGTATACAGCTTAGTGGTTAGACAATTATATACTTTACATGTTTCCTTTTATGTTTCCAGTACCCCAACTGGCACCATATAGTTATCACAATTTATTGACTATATTCCCTGTGCTTTACCTAATTCTGTTATTTTGTAACTACCAATTTGTGCCCCTCGTCTTCACCTCTTTCACCTAGTCCACTCTGGCAACCACCAGTTCTCTCTCTGTGTCTGTTTCAATTTTATTTTGTTCTTTAAATTTCACCTATGGGTAAAATCATATGGTATTTGTCTTTCTCTGAGTAACTTATTTCACTGAGCATAATACCCTTTAAGTCCATTAAAATTTTAGAATCTGTTTTTCTCCTGCACAGCATTTGCAAGTTGTGGTCTTTAGTAAATTAATATTTCTTTTGTTGTCAAGTGTCCTAAAGGGTTAGTAGGAATAATTAAACTTTTTGGGGAGAATAACTGGTAGTTCCTTAATGTTCTTTATTTAGGCCAGTGGTTTAGCGTTCATAACAATCCCTGGAAAACACAGGTTACTTAAAACACAGGTTTCTGAGTCCTATATCCAGAGATTCTGGTGCAGTAGGTCCGGGTGGAGCCATGAACTTGTCTTTCTAACAAACTCCCTTACTACGTGATAGATTGGATTGCGGGGTCCTAGAATCATACTTTGAGAACCACTGCTCTCTGGCCTCTGGGGGTACCCAAGAGACATATTTGTCATAAAGCCTCCTCTTTTTTGACCTTTCAGTAAAGAAAGCTCTTATTGATGAGGTAGAAGATAAATTCCCTTAAGCCTAAAGCAGTTTTTTTTGGTATCGGACTGCATTAATTCAATTGTAAGATAATTGCAAACTGGATTTGCTTTGAGTTAGTTGCCAACAATTTCTGGACAACTAAGTGCAAGGAGTTTATCCACCTATCCTGTTAGAAGTGCCCTGTGCCCTGGCAGGCCGGGAGGAGCAAGGGTCGCCCAGCTCTGGGCTGGAAGGCGCTCGGGGCCGGGCCACCTCGCCGGCCTTATCAGAGGCAGCGCGTCTGGCCCCACGAGCGCAGGCGGCTCCCGATAGGGAGTCTGTGGGCGCCACACGGGACACCGGCCCGACCTGCGGCGGGCGGCCACCCCAGCCCCGTCCGGGAGTGCTTCCTCCTCCAGGGTCCTCGTGGACGGAGCCCAGGAGCCAGCGGGGAAGCAGCCCCTGGGAGCGCGCAGCGGGCAGGTCGGGACCCGCGGCGGAGAGTCCGCGCCCGGAGCCGCCTCCCGCGGAGCCCGCCCGCCCAGCACCGCCGGGCCCGGGCTCCCTCGGTCCGGAGGCCCCGCAGGCCGCGCCGCGCTCAGGCCGCCCGCTCGCCCTCCCCCGCGGCCCGCGGAGATGTCGGCCAAGGCCGAGGCCGGCTTCCTGAAGGAGGCTTCGCGGCAGATCCTGGCCGGCGGCTCCGCAGGTAAGGCGCCCCCCGGAGGCTGGTCGCCTTTTTATCTTGGTTTCTCCAAACGTTTCTCAGAGAGTCTCCAAGGTCCGCCTTCACTCAGGTCTCCGAGTTCTGCCTCTTCCTCTCCGTGGCGCGCCGCCGCCGCCCGAGCCGGCGGAGCGAGAGCAGGGGAGGCCGGGAGCGGGTGCCCCGGGGTCACGCCGGCCGGGCGCCCGCGCCGCCGCCGGGGGTTCCCGCCTCCTTGGTTCCTAGGCTGCTAAGGCGGGTAGGCAGCCCCAGGCCTGCAGCGTGGAGGCGGCCCTTTTGCCTCGCTGGTAGTTTTTGCTGAAATGATACAACTTCTGTCCGTCTTAGTTTTGTTCTCAGTTGTAGCCTCTCTCTGCAGAGTTAACTCGGGTCTTGCATAACTCCGACCTCGCTCATTAAAGCGTGTACCTCAGGGCTCCGCAGGTCTTCTTACTGCACACTGTGCTTGCTTGGGGCTATTCGCGCCTTGCATAGGCATGTTAAAATTAAACGCATATGTTAACGCATATAAACACCTTTGATAGATTGGACTCACGTTAATTTATGGAGAGTTATGCCGTGTGCAAAAAACCATTTAGAAAAAAATTGTGATGCTAATCATGGAAATAATTGCTAAGAGTGGCTAGAGAAAGTTACCCCCATGAAATTATTTTTTTTGGAACATATTTTAAAGATAGTTTAAAATATAAGTTATGACTTGATTGAAAAGTAATCTTACCTATTGCGGTGCATTTTTATTATAAATGTAAAAAATAATTACTATAATTCATCACCATAAAACATTTATATAAAGGTAGATATCCTCTTAATAAATTATATTATAGTAGCTCTAATAAATCACATTAAAGCAATGAACTTTCACTAGTAAAATTTATTTTCAAATGAATTTGGACTTTTTATAAGGAGCCACTACAAATTATGACCAGTTTTCATTATATCATGAACTACTTGCACCTCAGAGGTACTACAAGCAGCCAGATGTATCACTTACAATTTGTACATTTCATAAAGATGCTATTTCATTAATATGGCAATCAGGACATGAGTTTATTATTTGTAACTACGTTATGCCTATCCATTCTTATAATGTCAGTGACTCCACTGTCTACTTTTTTGTTATTTTTCTGTAGTGATGGTGAGTTTGTACCAACTTATTCACCATTTTGGTCACATTCCACAATATTCAAGACTACATAGCATAGTTGATTATACATTAAGTACTAAGAAATTATTGATAAATCGTGGGAGTAATTTATACTTTCATCACAGAAAAAAAAAAGAGAGTTTCTTCTACTTAGCCAATAACATTTTCATTAAATTTTTAAAAAAATATATATTTTATTGATTTTTTATAGAGAGGAAGGGAGAAAGAGAGCTAGAAACGTCGATGAGAGAGAAACATCGGCCAGCTGCCTCCTGCACACCCCCTACCGGGGATGTGCCCACAACCAATGTACATGCCCTTGACCGGAATCGAACCTGGGACCTTTCAGTCCGCAGGCCGATGCTCTACCACTGAGCCAAACTGGCTTCGGCCATTTTCATTGAATTTTTTTCATGAAATTTAATATTTATTGGACTTTAATAAGTGTAGGCTAATCATATTACATATACTAGGTTAAGGGCCAAAAATAAATTAATATACTTGAGAGTTAGGATTTTAATAAATAAAGAAAATGCATGAGAATCTCTAGCACTGGAGTTCTGATTACTGAAACTATCGTCAAATGCAACACCTTTGTGTGTGTGTGTGTATAATGTTATCTTTTGATGGTAAAGGCTAAAAATGCATCCTGGATTTCTATTTTTAAAAAAATGATCTTTATTAATTTTAGAGAGAGAGAGGAAGGGAGAGGGATAAGAGAGATAACAACATCTATGAGAAACATCAATTGGCTGCCTTCTGCATGCCCCCACTGGATATTGAACTCACAACCTGGAACTGGTTCAAGGGAATTGAACTGGTAAACTCTTGGTTCATGGGTCAACCACTGAGCCACACCAGTTGGGCAAAGCTTAAGGTTCCACTGAGATTGGATTTCTTAAGGGGAAAGAATAAGTAACTGGACATGTTTATTAAAGAAATACTAGCATACCTCATGGCTACGCTATGCATTCGTGGAACAGATTGGAATTAGGAGCTGGGCCATTGAAGGGAACTCAGAAAGTGAATGAATTCTTGCCATCTCTTCCAACTGGCAGCAAGGTGGTGGCTAATAATAGGGTCACATGTAGTATTACTACAGCTGTTAGGATGACTTGCTATACTTCCATAGATTTGCCCAGGGACGAGTAAACGTGCCCAAATGGATTCAGACAGTTAATTACTCACACAGATAGTAAAAGCAAGTCATTATGGTGTCAGTTCCCTGTGTCCCTTATTCCACAGATAACACCAAAGTGAACTGGCCAGATGATAGGCTGCATGAGCGGTGGGTGGCTCAGAACCACAGCCGTGCAGTTTTATAGACTTACACTGAAGTCTGTAGCTTTATTCTAAGTGGGAGCAAGGTGGGAATTCTTGTGCTCAGCTGAAATTAGGGAGATCTATGAGAAATGGCCTTCTGGCAGCCTTTCACAAGATAGTGGGAGAAACAGCCTCAGCAGCTCCTCAGCAGGCTGCTAATCCTCCCTCACGCCAGAAGAAATCCTGGGGCATTCTGCCAAGACTCGGGTCCGACTGCCACCGTGTAAGCCTTGCCCACGTGGTCTGTGTGGAAGGTGCGAGGTTGTCCACGTGCTGTGCTGTGGAGCTATTTCCCTGGGCTCCCGGTGTTTTCATCAGTCTTTTTTCTGCTGTTGTCTGCTCCTCGATCTGGGCAGAAGTGTTCCCCAATAGCTCCTGAGCTGACATGCTCTTGATTTCTGTAGAGAGAGCAAGAGACTGGTTTTCCACTTTTCAGTTCTAGTGTAAAATCTTGAGGAAAGACTCAAAGTAACCCAGTATTGGTCTGGGACCTGCCTCTGCACCAATCAAATATAGCCAGTGCCCATGTGGATGGTTGGGATGGGGGTTGGATGGGATCTGAGGGAAATTATTTTCCAGAGAAGTTACACACATCATGAGATGTGCAATAGGTATCTTATAATGATATAAGCTTATGTTTCATTAAAATACTAGTGGCCCAGTGCATGAAATTCATACATGGGCAGGGGTCTCACTCAGCACCCTCTCCAATCTGGGATTCATCAGAGGATGTCCAATTGCCAGTTGAGGCCAGATCTCAATCAGGGATCCCTGGCTCCTAACCACTCACCTGCCTGCTTGCTTGATTGCCTCTAATTACTCCGCCTGCCAGCTGCTCTCCCCCAACTACCCCCCCATCAGCCTTCTTGCCCCCAACTGCCAGCATGATTGCCCCCAACTTCCCACCCTGTCAGCCTCGCCTCTAACCGACCGCCTCCTACTCTCCCCACCGGTTGGCCTGATCACCCCCAACTGCCTGCTGCTGCCAGACTGATCACCCCCTACTACCCTCCCCTCCTGGCCTGATCGCCCCTAACCACCTCTGCCTCAGCCCCACCACCATGGCTTTGTCCTGAAGGACGTCCGGAAGTCTCCCAGTCTAATTAGCATGTTACCTTTTTATTAGTATAGATGGTTTGTAATATTTGTAATTAAAAGATCAAAGAGATTGATATCCTGACAGTTGCTTGGACAACACGCATCTAAAGACTGGCCTTGAATGTGTAGTTTGTATCTAGCTTATACCCAGATATTGTTACCATTGACAACTTTGTTTTATAAAATGTGTGCTCAAGATAAGTCAATATGTGTTGGAGTTTTATAGACTTATAGTCTGCATTCTCAGCTTCAAGTAGTAGCATCTGAATCATAAGCCAATGATGAGAGTTTCAGGAAGATCACAAACGCCTAGCAATGTAGAGGCGTTAAGGGTGAAAATGAGAAGAGGCCGCTGGATTAGACCCTCGTACCCAGTGTGGTCCTGAGGTAAGCATCAGGAGAAAAGAAGCCCACAGGGGTGGAGTCAGATTGCAGAGGTGGAGTTAGATTTCTTGATTTTTATTGCTGACCAGAGAGAGTAGAATGAATTCTAGATGCCTTATTATGTGCCCTCAATTTAGCTTTCAGGTTTATTTTCTACCCCTTTCCTACACATTCCATTTGGTTTCTGCTAAATATATCTGCCAAACATACTTGAATATCTCACCTTTATTCCCAATGCCTGGAAATGTCTTCCCCTTGTTTTCCCTACCTATTGAAATCCTATCCACTTTCCAAGGCTTAGCTAGAAAACTATTTTCTGCTTAAATGTTTCCCAGATGGCCCCCTCAGCCCCATCCAGCTTTAACATTCTCATTAACATGTGAATGGTGCAAATAATAAAAAATGGCTAACATTTATTGTGTTGATAGTAAGTGCCAGACCCCGTTCTCAGCTTTACATGTATTAACATTTTTTAATCCTTACCTCAGCTCCAGGATGACGAAACCAAGGTACTGAGGGTCTAACTAACTTGCCTATGTATGGCTGCACAAGCATGCAACCGTTTCTTTAGAAAATCAGGATAGGAGAGGGACTAGGAGAATATTATTCCTATTGACAGACATTTTTAGAAGTTGGAGAGATCAAGTCAAGTATGCTAGCCCTTATTATCTCTGTATCTCTTAGTAGTTTACAACCCTTAGGAGAACTTTTATCTACAAATGCAATCCTTATAGTCTTCCTGCTAAATAGTATCTTGCTCTTTCCAAATAGTTTTGTGTGTGTGGGCACAAATTAGCTTTTAGCCAAAAGAAAATTCTCAATCCTGTGCAGTTGAGCGGATAGATGGTTGCCCACAAAAGGACTCTGGCCACTGGAGCAAGTGGGAACTGAAATCTAGCCCATGCTCTGATCCATCATCTGTGTAAACCAGAGCATGCATCCATCTGTGGGGCAGGGCTACACACACCTTTTTCTATTTCTCACAAAGACCCCAAATGGACTGGCAGCAAACCTCACAGCAACATTGACTGAATTT